ATGTATATTTAAACTTTTGACCTCAAAGATCAAGCTAAAATGCAATGTGACAAAACTATCCAAACTCTCTTACAGACATGAAGCCATTTCACTGACGGGAGGGGTGATGCTGCTGCTGCCCTCAGTCACTTTCTAAACGAGGGGAAACTAAACCTAAAAGCAAAGAAAATCCACCAACATCGACTTTTGAAACACTGCACATACCAAGTAACTTCTTCTCACTATTGACACTTCTGCATGTTACTGCTGAAGTAACTCAAAATACCCTACAAACCGATGTTTCTCATTGTATAGCCTCCAACACCGGCTGGATAGCCAGCCATCCAAAAAGCCAATTCAGTGAGTGCTTCTGCTTGCCCTCAGCCGGCACCTCACATCCACACCTCCCCCAGGCTTACAGCACTACTCTTCCCTACTGGATCCCCAATGCGGGCCTCTCCGGGACCTCCTGTGACCTGGTCCCGCCATCCAACTACCCTAAACCTCGTAATCCTGAACTGCTTACCAGTTCAGTTCAAGATCCACCTTTCAGTGCTTAAAGATCCTGGGCAAGTTTGTAACACCTTTGAAACAAGCCTTCTCTTCCACAAACTGAAGATTTCATTCTTAGCAGTGTCGGGCACCTAACAACCAAACCTCCTGCTGAGAGTGACTGTGCACACAGTAGCCTTATTGGACAGAGCAGTACTACCCCAGGGTTTCTCAGGTTCTAATCTCTAAGGGAAGAGACTGCCTCGCCACTCCATCTTTCTCTGATAAGGGGCTGGTAGGTTTGAACCTCCAACCTTTGTTGGTTAGCAGCCAAATGCCTGACCACTTGCCACCGAGGCCCGAAGATACGTGTTACTCCCTCAATCAAGTCAGGAATTGTATGATGTTGCTACGGTGCTCCTCACATCGCTTACTCTGCCAGCAATGCCCTTTCCCTGCCTTGCAAGAGTCATCTGGCCAACAACGGATGGATCACTCTCTTGAGCTGTTTAATGGAAGGAAAATGTAAAGTTGAACAACTCCATCTAATCGGTCATCTTACCACTGTGATGCACTAGGGCCCCGTGCTCGATCTTCTTTTTCATGTCATAAATGTGAATCGTTTCATCTTTGCTCCCGGTGACGACAAAACGGCTATTCACAGCCACCGCTGACAAAGAGCCAGTGTGGGCATGGTGCGTGAAGTCAGCCACTGGGGTCCATTTCTGTGGAAGAGAAAACCTGCCCTTAGTGCCACAGCCACATCACTGGGGTCTAGAAACATAGTTATGATGGTTCAACAATCTGTAACAACCACAAGAAGAGGAGACATGATGCAGTAAGTAAATAGGTTTAAAAAAAATTGCCTGCGAACTGGGGAGAAACACTAAGAACGTGCAACAGAGCAGCAAGGGGAACAAAGCAATGAAGTCCCCAGGGAATACAAAAATAGGATTTGGAGCCAGGGTGTGGCACCCCATCAGACTGGACCGCAAAACACTCCTAAAGGTCAACAAACAATTTATAGGCTTTTCTTTTGTTGTTTTGCTGTCTTGTTTTTATGCTTATTATTGTCTCTGTACTCTAACTAGATAACATAGGTGGGATAAACAATCCGGCAGAGAAAACAATGGGACCAAGAGTTCAGGGAGGGGGCATGGGAGAGGAGTAGGTGGGGGAGAAGAAGGGAGGTGTCAACAAACCCAGGGACAAGGGAACAAAAAGTGATCTACAATCCATGGTGAAGAGGGCATAGGAGATGCCTGGTGGGGCTTTGATCATGGGCAATGTAGTCAAGAGGAATTACTGGAACTGAAAAAAGGCCAAACATGAGAGTGGGACAAGAGGAAAGTAAAAGGAAATAAGAGGAAAGAACTAGGAGGCAAAGGGCATTTATAGAGATCTAAATACATGTAAATATATTTATATATAACGATAGGGAAATGGATCTATGTACATATATTTATATGTTAAGTATTAA